AACCTCTTTACCGAAAGATCCTTCTCCAATCGAATCCGCCGTCATGCTCTCCCGTCAGGCGTTCCGTTCCGTCCGCGCCGTCGCCCCCCAGAGGGTCATGGCCATGGGTGCCGTCCCCGTGAGGACCTTTGCCGCCGCTGCTGGCGCCGACGCCCAGGTTAAGCCTCCTGTTGCCGTGTTCGGTCTCGACGGCACGTACGCTACTGCTCTGGTGGGTTTGTCCTTGTTTACTTCAATTGACTTTTTCTTCTTCACATGTTATTTTCTTGGGGGGAGGGTGGAATGATAAGACGATACATACAATTTCACTTGCCGCGCCTCTCTGGTCGCGCGTTCTTTTCTGTCTTCTTCTTCTTCTTTCCTCCTCTTCTTTCTCCGGATCCGGAGATGCCCCCGTCTGTCCGAGATCGAGAGCGCAACGAGTCAATTGGGGATAAGGACGATTTGGGGACTTCATGATGATGTTCGTGATTGATTCGGAATAATCAATTCTTGCTAACGATCTTATTCCCCTTCCCCCCTCCCCCCTCGGAATAATAGTACACTGCCGCCGTCAAGTCCTCCACCCTCGACCCCACGGTCAAGGCCCTGTCGACCCTCAGCTCCCTCCTCGAGAGGGACCCCAAGCTCGGCACCATCCTCTCGGCTCCTACCCTCACCACGGCCGACAAGGCCGCCGTCGTCGCCGAGCTGGCCAAGCAGTCCGGCGCCTCGGGTTCTACCGTCAAGAACTTCCTCGATGCCCTGGCCGAGAACAACCGTCTCGGTCTCCTGCCCGGAATCTGCACCAAGTTCAACACTCTCGTCCAGGCTGGTCGTGGAGAGGTTGAGATGATTGTCACTTCTGCTCAGGTATGCTTTCCCCTCTCCACCTTTCCTCAAGCATACACACGCACGCACGCACGCACACAACTCATCTTCTCCCTCTTGTTGTGGGAGAAAAAAAGAAGGACAAGAAAAAGAAAAAGTACCAATCTAAGATTCTCAAAAAAAATAGAACCTCGACAACAAGACCCTCTCCCGTCTTGAGAACGCCGTCTCCAAGTCTGCTTACGTCGGTGCCGGCAAGAAGCTCAAGGTCACCAATGAGGTATGCCTCCACAGAAGAAGAGGAGAAGAATAGGGAGATAGAGAAGGAAAAAAAGAGGAGAGAGAAGCCCATCTAACACATCCCAGGTCAACCCCGACATCGTCGGTGGACTCATCGTCGAGGTCGGAAACCGCACCATTGACCTCTCCGTCTCTGCCCGCATCGCCAAGATGAACAAGCTCCTCACCGACAGCCTGTAAAGCTATTGTCGCATACCATGTCATAACATAACCAACCCCTCCGAGAGAGAAAGAGCATGAACAAGACAAGCACATCGACTTCTTGTCATCTTCTGATTAATCAATAAATCTGACCCCCTCCCAACCAACCCGAACAAATCACCTCTTCCCTTTTTTACTTTTCCCTTTGTTACTACTTTCTTGTTCCGGCTGCCAGATGACCTGAGAGAAACGAGTTTCTGTTCAAGGACTCCCCGCCCGGCAAGCCCGTCATGTACAACTCTTTATCTATAGGGGAAGCAATTTCTGTGGGAATAGATGCAGTATCACTCGCTACCTTCGTTTCCCCGTATTCTTCTACTCTGCATGCTCGTATGTTTCTGTTAGCTTCCTACTCCGTGTCCCATATGCGCCTTCTACATCTTAACTTGATATACACCTTCCCTCTTGTCTCCCATATAAATGTTTGCCGTACATGTCCGTGTATTTAGATGTTCTATATAATGTCTATGAGTTGTAAACGTTGCCCAACAAAAACAGATACATGCCGCAATACTCTCACAGATTAGACACCTCATACTCCACCTTATCATCCTCAAGCCTTGGTCTCAAACTCTTCTTCATTGTCCGCCAAGTGCCCATTCTCATTCTTGTACCGGTCAAGTTGGTCACTGATGTACCGATGCATATGCGTATCGGCCTCCTTCTTCTTAGAAGACCTCCCATTCTCCCCATTGTATGCCGAGCAGACTGCAGAGTTGGCATCGTCGTCATCGTCGTCGCCGCCATTGACCGAACTGTCAAAGTCACTGCGGGCCCCAATGGACCGAGCAGTCGACGAACGTCGCACATGAGGCATTCGAGCTGAATGGGGCACCCCGGAGTCGAGACTCCGCTGGAGTATGTCGTCAAAATAATGTGACATTGCTACCGACGGAGTGCGCGGGGTCTGCGGAAGACGGCAATTTACGCTATTGCCAGTATTAGCCATGGGACAAGTCATCGAAAAGAGTTTGGAATAAGGGGAGAAAACCTACCCAGTGTCATGGATCATACGAGCAATGAGCCCAGTCCAACCGCATTGGTGGGTAGCACCCAATCCACGTCCGTCATTTCCGTCAAAGTACTCATAGAACCACAAGTAGTCCTTCCAGTGAGGATCAAAGTCGAGGCAATCATCGCCGTTATTGATGCGGCGCCTGCCATCATCAGTTCTCGCGAAAAGGTGCTGGATACGGTGCTGGATCTCTTCCGACACCTTGGCAAGGTGCATGTAGTCCCCGCTGCCAGTCGGGCACTCGACCCGGAACTCGGGGCCATAGAAGAGATGGAATCTCTGGAGTGACTCTACCAGGAGGAAATTGACGCATAGCCAGACTGGACCTCTCCAGTTGCTGTTTCCTCCAAAGAGACCACTCTCAGACTCTCCTGGGACGTAGCCAACAGTGAACTTCTGGCCGTTAACATCCATGGAGAAGGGGTTTTTCTCATGGTACTTGGACAAGGACCGGATACCATGCTCGCTGAAGAATTCTTCCTCGTCAAGCATCCTGCTAAGGATCTTCTCCAGACGGTCCCTACTAACAATGGACAGCAGGATACGGTCGCCCTTTCCCCTTTTCTTGATACTTGCCATGTTCCTCTCGGAAAGGTCGGACCGGTTGTTTACAAACCATTCCACCCTTCTTTTGAAGGACGGGAGCTTGTTCATGAGCTCCGGTTCGAGCGTCGTGGTGGCGTATAAGGGAATGAGCCCGACAAGCGACCGCACCGGCAGCTGCTGGATCCAGGGGCCGCCCCAGGAGATGGCGTCGTAGTAGAAGCCATCCTGTTCGTTCCAGAGAGACGCCTCTTCATTCGAACCTATTCGAAACGTCATGGCATCGCTAATGAAGATGAAATGCTCGAAGAACTTGGAAGCGATGTCTTCGTATATGCGACGGTGCTTTGCTAGCTCCAGGGCAATGTTGAGCATGGACAGGCAGTAAAAAGCCATCCATCCCGTGCTGTCGGCCTGTTCAAGGACACCGCCTGTCGGCAGCGGCTCGGAACGGTTGAAGATACCAATGTTGTCGAGGCCCAGGAAGCCACCTTCGAAGACATTCTTTCCGTCGGCATCTTTGCGGTTGACCCACCAGGTGAAGTTGAGAAGCAGTTTCTGGAATACGCGCTCAAGGAAGTCAAGATCTTGGCGACCGTACAATTTGCGCTCAATCTTGAACGTTCGGAATGTGGCCCAGGCATGCACCGGGGGATTCACATCGCCAAAATTCCACTCGTAGCTTATAAATATCCACGTCAGCAAATACCTCTTCTGTAGATGTCAATAAAGCTCCAATGACCTACGCGGGGAGTTGCCCATTCGGGTGGAGGTACCACTCTCTTGTAAAGAGGTCGAGCTGCTTCTTGGCAAACTCCGGGTCAATCATGGCCAGAGGAATACAGTGGAAAGAGCTGTCCCAGGCAGCAAAGAAGGGATATTCCCAGGAATCGGGCATGGACAGGATGTCATCGCAGTGCATGTGCTTCCACTGGTTGTTTCTGATATTCTTCCGATCAGGCGGCGGAGGGGGCATCGAAGGGTCACCGTTTGCCCACTGGTCCCAAATGAAGAAGTAGTGTTGCTTGGTCCACATCATACCTGAGAAGGCTTGTCTCTGGATGTTTCGCAGGTCGTCCGTCATAGGCAGTGGGCTGAGTCGGTAATAGAAATCATCGGCCTCGTCGCGTCGCAGCTCGATCATCTCATCAAAGGCTTCTTCGTCGACAAAAGTCTGGCCACTTTTGGAAAAGCGAAATCGAACCACTAGGGAGATGCCAGTCAGCAACACTGTCTCTCTCTTTCTCTCTGTTCTTTTCCGCAAGTTAAACCAGGGCATAGACATACCTGCGCACTCTCCGGGATTGACACCGCCGTCCTCGTTGAAGTTGAACCATGCACCGCATTTCGTTCCTGTCTGGGCAGGGTTGATGGCTTCTTTCTCGTTGTCGACAACGTACTTATGGAATGCATCCTTGACGTAAGGCGTCTTGTTCTCCTGATTATACAATTCCTTGAAGTTGGTATCATTATCGGTGAACATCATGCGTGGTATGACATCGTCTCCGGTGGAGCCGATTCCCGGGGATGGAGACATGACGAGGTAGCGCTCTCCAAGGCGCCAATGGTTCGACTTGGCAGCAATGTCTTCATGGATCTCAATAGACGGTTTCTTGGAGTCTGGCTCTCTGCCCCAACTCCACGTGTTTCGAAAAAACATCTGGGGGACAATGTGGAGCGGAGCAGGGTCCGGGCCCCTGTTCCAAGCAGTGACGCGGAAGAGAAGCTCATCGGGATCGTCTGTTTCCTTGGCTGTTTCGATGAATATATCCCAGTACCTGTCCTCGTCAAATACCCCCGTGTCCTTGATCTGGTATTCTCTCTCTTTTCTCGTGCGCTTGGCGTTCTCGTCGACAAGGTCTTTGTAAGGGAATTTCTTTTGCGGGTACTTGTAGAGATATTTCATGTATGAGTGCTACACGATTCGGTTGTCAGTATGCCAACCTCTTAGGGACCCGCTGTGGTTAGTATCGTAGGTGGTCTTACGGTCTAGACACACGGGCGTTGGTTAGCATTCAAACTGGTTTATATAAAGGCGCAAAGACATACGGGTGTGTTGTCAAGATGAAAATGCGCTTCCTTAATGCTCTCGCCGTGGTTTCCTTGGGGGTTGGAAAGGCCGAACAAGCGTTCCTTGAGGAAATCACTAAGACTGGGTCAGTGACCGGGGGGGCAGATGTGGGGAGGGAGGGCGCTGCGATGCAAGCAAGATCAACGGATCGATCGGCTCTGCTAATGGCTCACTCACTCTTCCTCGTTCCAAAAGCTGAAGGTTATGTTTTGATAGCCGTGAGTGTCGCAGACGCCAGCAATACCATCCTCACCCCATCTGAAGGCTCGAGAGCGGGCGTGGTCGTGAGTGAAGTCTGCATCAGAGTCAGCTTCACGGCCGGAACGTGCGGCGATATGCTGGACAACGTACGGCTCCATGCGTCTCCATCATGGCTATAATCCTCGCGAACTGAATAGGAATGTCAGCAAAAGCAATTGGGCAGAAGTCACGAGAAATGGCAAAGATGGCGTGCGTACCAGTAGCCCACTGGCGCTCCGAGACGTAGGGACCCCATTTCTTCCAGTACTTTTCGCGCTGGCGGTCCTCTTGCAGGCGCTTCTCCTCCTCAGTGAGGTACTCGTGACCGTCAAAGACAACCATAGCTCAAGAATGCCTTGAGGGGAAAACGAAGCTGGGCAGCGAAGGGGGGAAGAAAAGAGTAGGAAGCGGGGGGGGGGGGCAGAGTTTGGGCAGAAAAAAAGGTAGCAAGTAGAGTATTTAAGTACTCGCCGGGAAAGAGAAGGCAAGGCAGGTACGATAGGAGGGGAGGGGTGGCTGGCGGGCGGGACCATGGACCGGTGCCGTTCTTGAGCAAGCTAGCAAAGCCAGTCAGGCACCTAACGACGCGAGAGAATGAGAAAAGAAGAGAGAAAAATATATACCAGGTCGAATACCGGGAAGGCACAAATCATGCAAGCACATTACTGTTATTACTGGTCTGCAAAGGATCAAGGGTGACAGAAGAGTCTGAAGCTGCCGGCCATCGACGATGGAGGTTTTACCAGCAGTAACTGATACTGCACTCCTCACACATGACGATACGGAGCCTCTGCTATCATAGGTGCCCACGCTGTAGGAAAGTGGGCATATTGGGGCGTGGTGGCCCGTGGGGTGGAGTGGCTCCCTCCGGGCTCTATCTGCCCTCGTCCTGCTTCTGCTTACAGCTATAGGCTGTTACAGGTAACAGGTTACAAGTACGGAGTAGTACTGAGGAATAAGAGTACAGTAGAGCATTTTACTGCACTTTAAGCTTCATCCTGTCCTTTCAATGACCCACTACGGCATATAAAAGTCTACCGCATTCTGTTAGTCGTATTTAGTACGCAATAATCGCACACATGAGGGTTCGCAGCTTACACTTTCTACGTGTATTGCATATTCGTGAACACGGCTACGAGTGCTATCATCACTCCTCCCGGTATCCGCGCGGCGCTTGATCCAGCCCATCCATTATGGGCAGCCAGATAGCCACATGCCCAAGTTGGGCAACGGACACACACACACACACATGTGCAGTAGGTAGCATCGCAACACCACCAACAGACTTCAAAGGAGACAAGAGGCAACTCCAGAGTCTCTGAGCATGCCGCTTGCCTCGCTGCATCACCGACGTCGTCAACTTCAACACCAAACGAAGGATTGTCGGACCGATCCACAGCCTCGACACATACCGTTCTTTCCCGATCATCATGGTGTCATTGTGCATCCTTCTTCTCTTGATTTTGTCGTTTGGGTCTGCGGAGCGTGCGGAGATGGTCATGGGGATCGCATACGTTTAACATCGTTATTTGGCCGGGGTGTCTGGATTCTCTCTGCCTGTAATATGGGGTGCTGATTCAAGTGTAGTAATCAAGCCACGAGCCACACACAACGGCACCTGTGCCACATCACCATAGTGGCTCATGCCCTTCATAATTGCCTCCCCAATAGCAACTGGCAGGCAGGAGCACTGTGCTCCGTATTACAGCCCGTACATGCTCCCGTACTCCACACACGAGACGCCGGATGGACCATATTACCCTGTAAGAATACGCTGTACGGAATACTCGTACTCTGTCATGCTGTACCTGTAGGCTGTACGGATAGTATTATTACTACAGAATCATCGCCGGGCTTCATTCATTGGAAAAGCCTAGCAGCACACTGAGCCATGATCCCCCGCCAAGCCCTGCGCAATGCCTGCGCCCCGGCCTAGCATGCAGTACGAGTACATGTATGTATACGCTCAGCTGTACCTGTACAGGCGCCACAGACTATCCACTACGGGCTACTCAGGTAGAGCCTGAAAGTGGTACCCGTGGGCATGTACCACCACCCAGCGCGCCTTCCACGTCGTGGCCAGCTGCGTCGTGCCTTCCAAAATTAAATTCACCGATCGGGACTCATAGGCTCGTCGTCATTCGCCTTTCGCTGAGTCTTCCCCAACCTCCGCCACCAAACATTCGTGGCATCTTTGAGCCGCCATACTGCCTGCGCACTTCTTTTTCCTCTTTAATATACCCCTTCCTGTAATGACCTGCCGCGCCTTTTCATTTGATTCTATCTCGACGTCGCCCTTTTCTTTCTCAGCGCCGCCGTCTCGCCTCTCTGTTTTCCAGGAAGCCGCATCCACATCCACATACGCACACACCTTTCGCCACGTATTTGTCTCCCCGCGTTGTATTCCAATTGCCCCAGTCCTCGACAAGTGACGAAATGAACGAAATATATTCTGTTATCCAGCGTTTCATACTCGAATCCCCCCCTGGAGAATGGGCCCTCAATCAGCTTAGAGAGCTGTTGATTGGCGCCCTCAGGCAGGGCCCCGTCCCCCAACATGTCGCCTTTGAGATGGACGGCAACAGGCGATATGCCCGCAGCCACCGTATGGAGACAGTCGAAGGCCACCATCGCGGCTTCGAGGCTCTCGCGAGGGTTTGTCAATCCCCGCCTTGTCCTGGCCAGTCTCACATGCCAGTTGTCACTAACATATTTGTCTTGCGTCGTCATAGATCATGGAAGTCTGCTACAAGTCTGGCGTCAAGACAGTCACAGTCTATGCTTTTAGCATCGAGAACTTCAACCGCCCTAAGTATGAAGTTGAGGGTCTCATGCAGCTTGCCAAGGTAAAGCTGGAGCAGCTCACCACATATGGGGACGTTCTGGACCGTTACGGTGCCTCGGTCCGCGTCCTAGGTCAGCTCGACCTCGTACGCGAGGATGTGCTCCAGGTCGTCGACAAGGCCGTCGCCAGGACTCGCAACAACAAAAAGTCAGTTCCCTTCTCGTTCCTTGGCCTCAACTAGGTTTGCTCAACGGTAGAAGTTGCTGACATACATGTTCAGGGCCGTTCTCAACATCTGCTTTCCCTATACGTCGCGCGCCGAGATGACCACAGCCATTCAGTCGACAGTCGCCGAGTGCCTGGCACCTCCGCCGCCCAAGAACACACCTTTCTCACAGACCCGTATACGACAAACCATCCTCTCGAGACAGCTCAATGCACACGAGCGGCTTCCCACTATCCGCGACAACTCGCCCGAAAAACAAACCCAGTCTGAATCCGCTACTGAGACCGATGCACAAGGTGATGACGCTGACGAGGGTGCCTCGTCGTCTACCACGCTACTGTCAGACTCGCCGCCGCAATACGGCCTCGAGGCCTCCCAGCTCCCCAGCCCAGAGAGTATCACTGTTGATACGCTCGAGAAACACATGTACACGGCCGATGACCCCCCGCTAGACCTCTTTGTGCGTACCAGCGGTGTCGAACGCCTCAGTGACTTTATGCTGTGGCAGTGCCACCAGGACACGCAAATCTTCTTCCTCTCCTGTCTCTGGCCCGACTTTGACCTACACCATTTCATCTGGGTCCTGCTAGAGTGGCAGTGGAGGGTGAAGCAGAGCGAGAGGGAGGAGAGGCCGACAAGGCGACGGGATTCGAAGCCGAGGAAGATGAGTGTCGAGTAGACAGGTCTACGAGGAGGTCAACGTAAGAAGTTTTCGGGCTACAGTTTGTGCAACGCGACCCGTTTATTGCACATCTCATCCCTCCCCCTCAAAAAAAAAAAAAAAAAAAACAATTTACAGAAGACCACTAGCATGTTATGCATGAGCATGAGCGAAAATCACTGGCTGTCCTTTTCTTTTCAATTCTTTTGCTGCATACCCCGCGTTATTCCAATGGAGGGAAGCAAGGGGGAAAGATGTGATGGATGATCAAATGGAAAAGAAAATTAAAAAAAGGGGGGGTGGTGGTGGTGGGGGAAACAGGTGACAATCTTTTTGGCGGGTTGAAGGCGTCTACTTGAGGCATTCTTACTTGGGACTATTTGAGCTCTTTTTCTTTTCATTTGTGTCCCTTGTCTTTCTTTTTTATCTACAGGCTTTCTCTCCCTTTCCTTGATCTCATATTCTACTAGCTTTTAATACAAACCCTATGTGAGGATGCAAAGAGCGAGTGCCCACGAGTTTGCTCGCGTGTACGTGGGGTATTGCATTCTACTGATACCCTGAATCCTCGAGCCTAAGCTTCTTGCGCCCAAGGAACTTCTGGGGCCTGTAATACAAGGGCCTGCGACCAGGCTCATTCCTGGCCTTCTAAGCGGCAGGCCTAGACTCCTACGACTCCTGCGGCTCTTGCGGCAGCTCCTGCTCGCCGAGCTTCTTCTCCAGCTCATCGACGTGGGCGCGGATCTTGCCAAACTGGTAAGGCCAGTTGACGACGTACAAAAAGGGGCGGAGGTCACGCCTGTTGTCGTCGGGGTTGTAGGCCGACATGTGCGGCGAGGGGGTGAGGATGACGGCCTTGTGCCTGTTGAGGGAGTAGAAGCGGAAGAAGCGCATGACCTTGTCGGCGATCTGGCGGGGGCCAAAGTCCGGGCGGGTGTCCTTCCAGTCACCCAGGAGGCGGAGGTACATTGACCAGGGACCCAGCTTGTCTGCCTTGAAGCGCATTCCCAACTCGCCAAGTTCCTTGTATGTGAAGCCCACTAGAGGTTTGTGTTTCAATTTGGCCTCTCTGTCAGTAAGGGTACTATGCAAGGTAGGAAGGAAGGAGGGGAAACGTACTCTCTGCATCGGATTCGTCATCCTGGACACCCGCCGATAGAGGGAGGAGCTCGGCTGACGGGGTGGCGTCGAGAAACTCGTTCATGATGGGAAGACTGAAATGGACAATGGCCCATTTCTGAAAGGCCTTGGCGTCCGTCTTGGAGATGCTGCCTAGAGGAGAGATGTCGGCGGATGAGGCGTCGTATTTGGTGCTACCCTCTGCGGTTAGCTCAAGGGTCCCGTAGAGCAAGGATAATTACATATATATATACATGTATGTATTGGAAGACGAAGAATAAGGAATAGTGGAGGGTGGGGGGGAACTTGCTAGTATCCACGGAGATTCTCGTCAACATTGCCGCTACCCAGAACGAGAAGAGCAGCCCCCGCACGAGGAAGTTTGCGAGCGGTAGTGGACAGCTGGGCGAGCTCATACTGCACGACGAGCCTGTTGCGCGCCTGGATATTCTGCAGGGCGAGGTTCTCAGCCGGGGTGCCGCCCTGGACGGAGTATTTGGGTTCGAAGCCCAGAGTCTTGGTGATGATGGCCTGGTGAGCTAAGACAGCCTCGTCGATTGTGATGTCGGAGTGGTGGGCGCCGATTGTCTTGGCTGCACGGGGTTAGCTGAGGGGTTGGCCGTGGAGGGGCCCTTGTTTCGGGGCGGTGCTTACATAGTCGCTCGGCGCGAGACCGAGTCTCTTCGGCAGAATTGACCGTTCCTTGGTAACACTGTTTGTTTTCTTCTTGTTAGAAATGAGCCAGAGGTGAGAGAGTAGCAAGAGGGAGAGGGAGGATTACAGTGTGGAGGAGCCTCGAGACAATCTCTTCGGGAGTCTTGGGAACAAACATATTGTCACCCGTCACACGCTGCAGGTCATCGAGAGTAGACTTCTCGCCGTCCTGAATGGTTTGGAGTACCAGTCTGGCCATGCTATACACAAATAGGGCTACGGTCGACGAGTCTAGACCGCCACTGAGAGACAAGAAGTAACCGGGAGAGTTGGTCCTGGTAAGATACTGCCACAGGAATACGGCCTGTGCCATGGCAATCTCTTCCTATACAGATATCAGTTGACCGTTTTGGGGAGGAGATGGAGATATATTGAGTGGGAAAGGGAGAGTCTTACCATGGGGTCCAACACCTTAAGTTCCATGGGCTTACTGACTTGGAGGGTCTTGGAGAGGTAGATGTCGCTGGCGCTTCGGGAGAGAACCATGTCCGTCTCCACGCGAGGGAAGTCTTCCTGGGCAGCACCCTGGGTGGACGTCAGAGACATGCAACTCAGCAGGATTCACTATCGGAATGGGCTGAACTGACCTGCATGTTCCTGGACATGCCGGAGCGGTAGCTCCTCACGTCCTCGAGGGAGACAGTGGCGGTGATGACATCAACGGGCTTGAGGGTATACTGGACAGCCTGGGCCATCCTGCAAGAGGTGTCAATATGACTGTGAGTGTACACGTGCGTGGGAGCGGGAGGGAGAAAGACTCACACTTCTCCGTTCTTCAGGACCATGGACGAGCCGTCAAACTACACATAGAGCTTCATTAGAACACAGAGTTGAGAGAAGGAATCTCCCCACGAGTATGAAGACTCACCATCATCCTAGCTTCTCCATCAACGCCATTAGCATTAGCGTAGACATAGATGCCGCCCAGCTTGCGCGTGGAGTTGGAGATGAGGTCAAGACGAGTCTTGAGCTTTCGGAGCTCTGCATGACTAGCACTGCTGTTGAGGATGATTTCGGCGCCATTGAGGCCGAGATACGTCGAGGGGTTTAGAGGGGTGAAGAGCTCCTCGCACGTCTCGACGCCAATGGCCGTGTCCCTGGTGCTCAGGATGCCGTCGCCGATAGGCACCGTCTTCTGACCTGTGACGCGCGTCACCACGTCCTCGAGGTAATACGTCTCAAACTGGCGGGGCTTGACCCAGGGCGTGAAATGGCGCATCTCTCGGTAGAGGCCGTCACCTGCAAGGCTCATCTTAGGCCGGATGAAAAAGATGTGCTTGTACGTGGCCAGGACCTGGGCGTTGTACCGGCAATTGCGGTGCCTCACGGGACAGCCAATATCAATAATCATGTCCTTGCATGCCTCGTCGGAAATGATGTCAGCCAGGACCTCGAAGCTGTGGGAGAAGGTGTCGCCCTCGAGATGGTGGTCAAGACATCCATATCCTGGGATAGGTTATTTTTGTTATTCACCAGTCAGCCGAATAGATATAATGGCGATGATGACGGAGCAGGGCAGGAACGTATACCTGGAATCTCAAGTTCAGGACCAGTTCGAACAGTAGCTCCCTTGGACTTGGCCACCCGGATAGACTCTATGATTCTATCTCGGTTCCCTTGAAAATCCAGAGGGATGCTGGGGAGCGTGGCTGCTGCCACTGTTATGAAAGACATGGTGAGGGGTCGCTGTGAGGTATCGCCAGCCTCGAGATTGGTGGGGACGAGTTGCGTGAGAAGAGAAGATGACGAGGAAGGTTCTGTCTTGTTATGTGTATCACAACGCCCCTGTCATCTCTCCCAGATACAGCTGAGATATGGCAAAGGTTTGTATGGTGACTGTTAAGTTATGAATGAGATACGACGATGCCGTGATAAGTCCGAGGTGAGAGAAGCTCCGGGAACGGACTAAAATGGTAATGGAATTATGGCTACCCGGTACCCTCTGCCGTGTGGCAGTGATATTACTCCGTAGTGACTGACGGCAGTGACGAAATGGTTTATCTTATCAGGTCAATGGCCCACCGGGACAATCATTTATCCGAAAGCCAGCCATTTGGCATACACCACGTTAATGCGCACATATACAGATTAGTAGGATTTAAAGTAGGAGGTAACGTTATATATATTGCATGTATATGCTGTATCCTCTATAAGAATGCATCTACAGATTATAGTATAGGCAGGTACCTATAGGATCTTAGGCGTGTAGATATTCTCACATAGAGAGAAGAGTATCACATGGGTACTTATGCCATGTCCCTATTCAACCTCATGACTTGTCTTGGCAGGAAGCCTGATTCCAGTTCCCTGCTCTGATTGGCTGGTATCACCTGGCTGGCGTACGGAGTATTACATGTAATCTGTAATCTGTATACACTACCTGTAGCCTGTAGGCCTGGTACGCCTGTAAATGGCCAGTGGCATAAAACTTGCCAGTGGGACAAGAGCGCTCCTCAATTGCGCGCCTGGATGGACGATAGCAGCAGCGGATAAGGTCTGGGAGCACTTTGCCGTTCACTTCCAAACCCCCGAAGCAGCGCAGCCAACGCATCATCTCTGACAAATCACCAACAGTTGAGCAACCCTTCCACCTCGGATGCCCTTCTCTTCTTTTTGCTATTACGCCTCTTTTTACTCTCTAGAAGGAAGCATCGTGCCATGATGCTTTAGACTCTTTTCTCTCCCAACACACTTCCCTGCTTTTATTTTTCCTTTTTTTTCGGCCGGGAACCCATTCTCACTCCCCTCTTCGGTTCCGCCAGCGAAGTGACGCTCTCTCCCTCCTGAGTGTAGCACAAGCACACACACGCTCTCCAATCCTCCCGGCACCTCCAAGGGCAAGATGTCGGCCGAAATGTCTTCCCAGCGCAGGTCGCAGCCTGTGCGCCAGACACGCACGAACCCTTCGCGAACCACGGCCAACCCCTCTTCTCGCGCGACGGGCGGCGCTGGCGCCAGAGACGAGCCAGCGAGCGATCAACCCATCGACATCTTCCCGGCCATTACATTCTTTGCAGACACGCTTACCGCTCTACCGCGGGAGCTCGTCCGACACTTCACACTGCTCAAGGAAGTGGACGCCAAGCTGTGCATCCCCGAAGAGCAACTGTTCGAGCTCGTCTCGGCAGCCCTCGCCACCACCAACACCACAACTACCACCGCACAGGCCGGCGATGCTGCTGCTGCAGGTAGCAACAGCAGCACAATCCAGACCACCCAGACAAGAGAGAAGGGCGCCGTCGCATCTTCATCGACGACCGAGCCACAGCAGCCCACTGCCGCCGACCAGCTCCTCCGCAGGCGGCAGCTGTTTCGGCAAGTCTCCTTGAAGATCCAGGAGATGCTCGTGTCACTCGAGGAGAAGAACCACGTCATCGGCACCGCAAACGATGCGCTCGACAAGCAGATTGCTCGCGTCGAAGACGTCTGGCCCTACCTCGAGCGCGAGTTCAGCGACGAGGCTAAGTGGGGGAGCGACACGCACTGGGCCTACCCAGAGAACCGCAACAAGTCGTTGCACCCGGAGCGTGCCCGCCGCGACGGCGCTGCCGCAATATCCGCCGCTGCCCAGGCCGTGGCTGAAGAGGCCGCGGCCCGCAGCGACGCTCGCAAGCAGGCCCTCCAGGCGAAGAAGAACCTCAAGAACAACAAGGACAACAACCATCACGACGTAGACTTTGACGATCATGATGGTGCCGGCGGCCGACATCACAAGGGCGAGGTGGTTAAGAAGTCTACCAAGACCCGCAAGTCGGCCCCCGAGGCCGCCGGTGTCGGCCTGGGTATAACTACTACGGCAAATGGCAACCCGCCGCAGAAGAAGCGGAAGGTTGAGAGCAACAGCAGCACAACAAATGGCACCACAGCGTCGGGAGAGCATGCTACGAGTTCCATCTTTGGTCTTAACGCGTCAAAGTCCAAGGGTGCCAATGCTGGCGAGGTGTCCTCTGGCTCGGACGGTCCCAAGAAGAGGAAGGCTCTACCGTCTGGCGGCAGTCAGGCCAAGAAGAAGTATGTCCGACCCTCCTGTTCTGCTACCATTCTGCTACGTCGGTAGCCAACCGAGAACGCATGTGTCTAACGTGACCCTCCCAGCAGAAACGGTGCCACCACGTCAGCCACCTCCTCCCCGGTGCTGTCGTCACTACCAGAGCCCAAGAACTCGGTCCGCGGATCACCGGCACCCAACAGCGGCAACGGCAACGGCAACAACAACAGCAGCAGCAGCACATCTCGACCGACGACGACGCGAGCGCGAAACAACTCTATACAGTCGCTGGGCGACGCGGCCAAGAACCGGCCAACCACGGCAGCCTCGGGCAAGACCAACGGAACTGCGGCGGTCAGCGGTGACGCCCCTCCACCGACGCCGACGGCGCCACGTGCAGGGTCGGACGCCCGGTCGGTCAAGGAGGCCAGCGTACCCATCAAGGGCGAGACCGGCAAGAAGGACGGGGACAACGCCGAGAGCGCTGGTTCTGGTCCTGGCGAGACGCCCGGTGCTGCTGGCGCCCGCGGCGGCACGCCTAACAACAACAACAACAACAACAACAACAATAATAATATTAATAATAGTAGTAACAATATCAACAACGGCATGAAGACAGAGAAACCCATGACCAAGGCTGAGGAACAGCGCGAACGCCGCAAGAGCGAGTCGATACCACCGGGTGGCCAGACGCCCGCGACGGTGACGACGACGAAGAGCGGTCGGACGAGCAAGCCGTCCACCCCCGCCATGGCGACGTTTCAAGAAGCAGCAACGACGACAAGGGCACGACCGTCGCGCGGCGGCGCCGGTGGTACAGACAACAGCAGCAGCAGCAGCAGCGGGAAAAAGGGCCACAGGAAGAGCGCGTCGACGGCGACGCAGCAGGCCCAGGCTCTCGCGGCACTGCCACCGCCGCCACCTGCGCCGACGTCCGGTACGGTGGACGACGACGCGACTAGCGGAGAGGGTGATGTGGACGCAGACGAGCCGACGTACTGCCACTGCAACGGCGTGAGCTACGGCGAGATGGTCGCGTGTGACTCGGATGATTGCCAGAGGGAGTGGTTCCATCTTGCTTGCGTGGGCTTGAAGGTTGCGCCGGCGGAGAATCGTGAGTTTTCTGCTTCTTTCTTGTCTCTCGCTACGTCTATGCATCTTCTCTGCTTCCCATAGACATGCCATTGCTAACGGATTGCTCCAGGTACGTGGTACTGCGAGGATTGCAAGGAACGACTCAAGATTGGAGCCAAAAAGGGTGGTCGTTGAGGAGCCATGCCTGCTGTATCTTGTATCTTCTCTCTCTCTCTCTCTCTCTTTACTTTCCATGGTCATACGTATACACACAGAGTATGCATTCACACATATAAGATTTTATATAACTGGCGTTGGTTTTCTTTCCTTGTCTCTTTCCTACACTTTGGGCGTTGAGATGGGATAAGGGGGGTTGCGGGGGAAAGATGGGTATGAGTTGGTAGGATACGGCGCATCTGTCTAAATTCCTCCCTCTTCTCGCTTATTATGATTTCGTTATAAAGGTACCGTTGACTTGACAGAGGGCAACCGGCTAGATATCAAGCATGGCATTGAATTTCGTTTTCATTTTTTTTCATTTTTTTTTTTTCAAAAAAAGTCAAAAGTCTGTCATCTGCTTAACTGGCAATATTGTAGATTGTGATCTGTGCGTATCGGGTTACCGTCTCCAGTATTACAGGTAGAAGTACGAGTAGTAGTAGCAGGATATGCTTTCCCCGCAATGCTGGCAAACGAAACATGACGATGCTATCGAGTAATAGTATTAGGGTATTCCAAGATGATGACCGGTTTTAAGGGAAAAGGGTCCCAAGGTTCCCCAGGTACGCCGCGCCTGGCATGATGGCTGCATAGGCTAGACCGGATCCGTCGGTGGGGGGGTGGGAGACACGAAGTGACCAGAGTTGTGCAGAGGGGAAAGGGGAAGAAGAAAATCAAAATAAACGAATGGCTACATGTACGATGTGTGTCACGCGAGGGGGAGGGGGAGCCTCACGAGGTAATATCACGACAAGGGTGGTCAAGTTATCAGTAGCTCAATCCTTCCTGCTTTCTCCCTAACGCTTTGCGGGGTGGATGAGGAGGAATTGGCCAGTTGCGATTGCCTACGAGTTGATAGGACTGCGGATCGTTCTCGTCGGGTCGTTATCAAACTGCCATGGGATCAGCAGCAGCGGCAGCGGCAGCAGCGGCAGATGTGAGAATTATCAAAGATAAAGAATTAGCAGCAATACCGGAGAGTGTTAATCTGCTGTTGCCAGGATGACGGTAGGCCAGTTCGTATATACGATCACGGTCGGCGGCTAGTCTCGGGCCTACGTAGTCTACTCCGGAAGGTGGAGAGGTGTCAACGGCGATGTCGGGGGAGGAGAAGTAGGAGGAGGAGGAGGAGGAGGAGGAGGA